CCTGGCGGTGGGAAGAGCTCGCTGGTGTCAGCAGCGCTGGGACTGCGCCCCCTGGCGGGCGGGGAGGTGCTGCTCAACGGGATTCCCCTGACCCCCAACTCAGACCCTGCTCTGCGACAACAGGTGACACACACGGGCCACCCTCGGGCCGCCACTGCCACCCCTAGATCACCATCCACCTCCTGCTGCTGGCCCCCTGTCACCAAACCTGTCCACTGTGTTCCCATGGCCACCCTGGGCATCCTCTTGTCCCCCACAGCCACCCCTGGGTCTGGTCCTCAACAGGTCCCCACTGCTACCCCCAGGTCACTCCTGTGCCCCAAATGGGTCCCTACTACCCAAGGTCACTGGTGGTGCCACCCCCTGGGTCCCCAATTCCACCTCTGTGTCACCTGGGTCCCCAGTTCCACCCCTGTGTCACCAGTGGGTTTACCATGGCTACCCCCAGGTCACCCATTGCCCCAACAGCCATGACCACCATGTCACCCTGTGTCCTCAACACTCCTCACTGCCACCCCCAGGTCACTCATGTTCCAAACAGTTCCTCCCAGCCATGGGACCTCACCATGACCCTGCCACCACCCCATGTCTCCACTTGTCCCCTCCGTGTCCCCTGTGCCAAATCCCTATGTGGTCCTGTGTTCTCTCATGTCCCCTGTGTCCGCAGGTTGCTGGTGTCCTGCAGCGCCTGTCCCTCTTGTCTCGCTCTCTCAGCGCCAACATCACGCTGGGCTGGGGCCACAAGGAGGGGCCACAGGTGATGGCAGCGGCACAGCGGGTGGGGGTGCACACTTGGGCCAAGCAGCTGCCAAATGGCTATGACACAGGTACAGCAATGGGGGTTCCCATGCACCCCCTGTAGTGTCCCCAGTGTGTTCCAAAGATGTCCTAAAGTGTCCCAATAATGTGTCCAAGGTGTCCCCTTGGTCTCTTCAGTTTGTCCCCATCGAGACCCTATGATGTTCCCATAGTATCCCCATAGTGTCCCCTGCTGTTCCCACGGTGTCACCTCACCATCCCCAAGGTGTCTATAATGTCCCCACGGTCTCCCCACTATATTCCTTCTGTTCCCTCACTGTTCCCTGACTGTCCCCATGGTGCCCCCAGGGTCTCCCCATGCTGTCCCCTCCATGTCCTCTCTGCTTCTTCACTGTCCCCTCACTGTCCCATCTCTGTTGTCCCTGTGCACCCCAGAGCTGGGGGTGCAGAGGGTCTAGCTTCCTAGCATGTCCCCAGTGTCTCCCAAATGTGTCTCCATGGTGTCCCCTCAGTGTCCCCATGCCATCACCACAGTGTCCCATTGTCACCTCACTGTCCATTCTCTGCTTGCTCCCAATTCCCCACCGTGTCCCTTCGGTATCCCCTCTCTGCCTCCTCCTTGTCCCCTCGCTGTCCCCGGAGACGCAGGTGCACAGTGGGTGCAGCTCCCCAGTGTGTCCACACGATGTCCCCGTGGTGTCCCACGGTGTCCTTGTGGTGTTCCCATGGTGTCCCCTCTGTCCCCAGAGGTGGGCCCACGGGGCATGCAGCTTTCAGGGGGGCAGGCACAAGGAGTGGCGCTGGCCCGGGCCCTGCTCAGGAACCCCCAAGTGCTGGTGCTGGATGAGCCCACGCGGGCACTTGACCCCATGACCCAGCACAAGGTAGGTCACAGCCCTGTCCCTGTGTCCCATGGCCCTATCCCCCGGGTCCCCTGGGTCCCCCAGTCCTCATGTCCCCCATGTGCCCTGTGTCCCCTGGATTACCATGTCCCCTGGGGTCTCTTAGGTCACTAAATTCCCTGGGTCCCTGCCCCTGGGTCCCTTTAGTCCCTGTGCATCCCCTAGGTGCCTTCCTTGTCCCCATGTTCTCTGGGTTCCCACTCCCCAGGTCCTTTGGGTCCCCCATCCTTGCGTCCCCCATGTGCCTCGTGTCCCCTGGGTCCCCACTCCCTAAGTGCCCTGCATCCCCTCTGTTCCCATTCCCTGTGTCCCCTTGGTTGCTGACCCCATGTCCCCTGGGGTCCCCTCTGCCCTGGGGTCCCCTGGGTCCCCTGAGCCATGAAATCCCCAGGATCCTGCCCTGTGTCCCCTTGGTCCCAATGTCCCCGCGTACCCTGGGTCCCCACATCCTCACATCTGGGTCTTTGTCCCAATCCTAGAGTCCCCTTGATCCCGATGTCCTCTGGGTCCACATGTCCCCACTCCCCAGTCCCTCACTATGCTCTCCACCCTGGGGTCCCCTGACACCCCCATGTCCCCGATCTCCACCGTGTTCCCCGTGTCCTCGTGTGTCCCCGCAGGTGGAGCAGGAGCTGCTGTGTCCCGGCGCTCCTGGGGCAAGGGAGAGGCCGGCAGTGCTGCTGGTGACAGGGCGGGTGGCCCTGGCCCAACGGGCTCCGAGGGTGGCCCTGCTGGAGGGGGGGCGGCTGCGGGAGCTGGGGAACCCCGGGGAGCTAAGGACCCTCCCGTGGGGGACAGCGGGGGACACTGGGGACACTGGGGACACTGGGGACACTGGGGATGGGGAGGGGGACGACTAGGGCTGGGAGGGGGACACCAGGGATGGAGACTGTGAGAACAGGGGTGAGGACGCCGGAGAAGGAGGGGCAGTGGAGGCATGGGGACACCGTGGGGGAGAGGGTGACTTCGGGGCCAGGGCTGTGACAGTGACCGAATGTGAAATCAAACGATAAATCTACAAATCTGTACATCAAGAAATCGATAAATTAAGCAATAAAGGCGT